CTCCGCAGATCATGTCATGTGAATTCAAAGGAATTTTTTGATTCTCCGAAAATTTTAATAAATATAGACGTAATGAAAATAAGGATGGTAGAAAATCGTTTTTCACCGCCAAGGGAAAACCTGTCATCGGACTTTCAATTATATTTTGTGTACAATCAATGTAGTCGGAAATTGAATAATTAACCAAGTGTTACCAGTTCGATGAAACAAATCAGCGAGACACAAACCACCTATTTTCTTCAAAAATTTACCATTGATAAAGATCGCTCAAGCAATACTTTTATACTTTTTACATATCAAACATAATAAACAATTAAGTATCAATAAATTTCTAACTGGTCTTAATGTTCGAAGCTTTTAAATCAAATAATCGATGCATTAATATGGGCGTAATAAATACAGCAATCTTTTATCGTTTAACCAAACAATAATGAATACTGTTATTCAATTTTTCACTCATTTAAATTTAAAATTTTCTCAGTATAAAGAAAAAGGCTTGGGTAAATTAACGAATAGTAAAGAAATTTAAATTGTTAAAATCATTAAAAGGAGGAACCGACGTAACTAAAGTTGAAACTTTAACGGTTGATCGCAAGGAAATTTTTTTATTAGGTTTTTATAGGTAGTATGGCGAACACTACGAAAAACAGAAAAAGTATTTAATTCTATGAATTTCGTTATCAATTAGGATGCTTGAGAACAGCCATAGATGGCTAACTGTATACAGCTTTTCCCTTGGCGGTATAGATGCAGACATATGATTCATTACGTAATGTTCTTGTGGCATCTAGGTTGTAAAGACATTCGTATGATTGGATGTTTAAACCAAATTAATTTTAGATTATTTATACAGTTTAGAGTACTTTTTTAAAAAAAGAAAACTACTACGAATAAACAAAAAAGAAATATATGGAAAGTTTTATTAGGGTTGTAGGACTCCACTATTAAAAAAAAACAAATTTCTTTTTTGTTTTAGAGAAGTTAGCATAATAGCGATTTCTTAAAGATAGATAAAATTAGGTTATCACCATGCTAACTTCTCTAAAACAAAAAAGAATTTTGATTATTTTAATAGTGGAGTCCTACAACACTAATAAAACTTTCCATATACTTCTTTTTTTGTTTATTCGTAGTAGTTTTCTTTTTTTTAAAATGTACTTTAATCTGTATAAATAATCTAAAATTAATTTAATTTAAACATCCAATCATACGAATGTCTGCCTATGAACTGTGACCTCTCAAAACCACTATCCATTGCGAACAGATTTTGTATTATTGAGAATTTATTAGGTTTAAGACACAATAAATCATTAAATTTATATAGCGGATGTGCCTGTAAAATAATCTTGCCAGTGAAATAAAGTGTTTATAAAGTGATTGTTTGATAATTATATTAATTAAACTTGCATAATAACTTTTGAATTTTAAGCGACTTGGTAGCATTATGTAGCATACAACATCGCTTGCATAATGCATCTCTAATCTAAACCTATTTTATTTTCTGATTCAGAATTTTTAACACAGAAATAGGATTTTTTAAGTTAATCTGAAACCCCAATACATTATTTCTAACTTTAGTTGTAATTGAATGTTAATCCCGGATCTAACAAATTAAAATATATACACAGTCGTCCTCTATAATCACTTAGTTTGTTTTACACAAATATGTAATTATAACTATAATGTGCTCATATGGAAGTATTTTTTAATAAGGGTATTAAATAAATTGGTTCAAAATTTTATGAGATTATATAGAAGTTACGATTATATAGGAGTTCACTATTGAGGAGTACGACTGATTTGGACAAATTAACGTGGTGAAATTCACCGGATATACTATTTCTCAATAATGGTCTTAGTAAATAGTGTTTTGTGTGCTAAGAAAATGTCTTGCATTCTAAAAAAATCCTAAACTCTAATCTTAATCCAGACACTAACCCAGATTATTTTAACTATAAAATTTGAGGTAAATTTTCTATAGGTTTTACACAATTATAAATATTTAAATCTTGCATTACTTATTTTAGTTGTATATTTATTTAATCTTTGCAAGATTAATTGTAAATGAAACCGACAAATTAAATAACAGAATGTCAATTTTAGATGAAAAGAATTGCATATCCATAGAACAAATTTTCGAATTGGGGAATGGACTAGGAAAGCCCCTTTCGGTATTACGTAGCTGTCAAAAAGGGTTTTCCTAGAACATTCCTCACTTATGTTTCTTATTTGTGACACTTTGTATAGATACCAGAACATAAATTAAAAATTCCTAAAATTTCTTCTAAATAAAAAAAGGTTGTACAGTTATTATAGGAAATTGTCCAAAAAAATGTTCGATTTTCTGACGTTTGCACGGGATTGAAAATTATCGTATAAAAAACGCATTCATCCAAACGGAGTCAATTTCTGACAAAAATCGAATAATTTCAGAATTTTCCGAACAATTCCAAGATATATTTTTTTATAAGGTTTCTATATTAAAACGCCTTCAGACCTTTAATAGACTCTACTTCAGCACTCGAGATCAAACGAACGTTAAATCAATATGAATAATATCAATGAAGATAATGAAGGAATTACAATCTATAAGAAAATTTCTGGAATATTATATGGAATAGGGTATAATATTAACTATATTATAGGAGCAGGTTTGTTTGAGTTTGAGTTTGAATTTATTTTAATTTTTTTCTTTTTTACAATAAGACCTATTATTATTTTTAAATAGGAATTTTCAATCCTGAAAGCATATGGATTCTGGTTCATTTGCCAGGAATTGCTATTGTACTTTACGTTGTTTGCGGTATCATTAGTCTTTTAGGCAGGTCAGTCTTCATTGAGGTAAATTAGTAATAAAATAATGAATGATTAATGAATTATCAAATCGTTTATAATGTCAATATTATTAAAACTCCTTGATTTTATTTGTTTTACAGTTGGGAATTAGGTCGTTGCCTAGTGGAATAGGCGAACAAAAATACATTATCGATGCGTTCTATCCAAAAAAAGAATGGTGGTCATGTATTTAGCCTTGTTGCAATCTTGTGCGTAAATTTTTTAAATACACGTAAGTACATACGAATAATCAGTTCCACTCTTATAATAGTGTAATATTACCCGGAACAATAGCAGCCGAATGTTATGGTACTGCTCAATACCTTCTCTACGCTTTTAGAGGAAGTTTTAATGATGATCACATGTAAGTAAATTTTTTTTTTGAATCGGATTTGAATACCTGATTCGGATATTGTTACGAATAGCTGGATAAGGTGGTCACATATATGTGCAGTTAACACTAGCCGTAACTTGTTGAAACTCGATTGCTAATGACAATTTGAAATTAGACATCGTTATTACGTATTACTTTTCTATATATCATGACCAGAAAGCTTATAAAAACGCACACTTTTATTAACGGAACGACGAGATTTTTATATACAGTCTACTCTTTCTATACCGAACTCTCGGTTCTGGCCAAAAAAAAAAAGTTCATTATATAGAATTACTATGCTTTCTTAATAGCCATAGCACTTATTATACCGAACTAATATTAAAATTTGAAAAATTTGAGTTCGTTATATCCAGAGTTCGTTATAAAGAGGTTCGTTATATCCAGAGTAGACTGTATTTTGGATTTGTAATATGATCCTCCGGGAGTAGGGTGAATGGCACGGAAGTAACATGCATGCCACTGAATTAAAATAGCCAATAAGGCATGCCACTTATATAGAAAGGCTGGTTTATATAATAACAAAATAGGAAACTGCGAAACGTTTCGAGTAAATAACAATAAAAACCGAAAAATTCTAAACATGACTCGAATCACATGAATCTGACCAATCCAAATTGAGTATATGGGGTCTTTGCCTTGAAAATGACCTTACGGTACATGATACCGTAGGGTCATTTTCAAGGCAAAGACTCCATATCTTATGGCATGGCATGAATTTTGGTCAATGGTATGCCAAATTTTTTTAGCGTGCCATTTACCCTATCGGGAGGCTTTGGGCTATCCTGTCAGCCTCACTCAGCAGCATAACGTATAAACACGTCATAACAATAGTAAAACCAAACTACTGTCCGGTTTTAATGTTCGATTGGGTGTACAAAACTAATAAGAAAATATACAATTTTTAATTTATTAATTTATTAATTAATAACATAATCATATGATTTTGAATTTGTAGTACCGTGATTGTTTCGGGAGAAATTTTATTATTTATCATGATATATCAAATACTTCTGATAGAGTATCTGACATCATAAATCAAACGCTAGCCGTGATTAAGATTATTTCCTTACTTTTTTTTCCGTAGTTGGATTAGTTAAATTAGAGACCAATCATATTAAATCATCTAATACTAATGTAAATAAGCTTGGTGCATATGGAAGTGTTATGGAAGAGGTAAATTATATAGTATCTATATACGAAATTTCTAATATTTAACCAAAAAATTACGTATATTTAAACTTAGATATTATCCTCATACTGTATGAAGGTTAATAAACATATTTGATGTAAAATTGATAAACTGCTAAATTATATTATTGTTTTGCCGTATATATATTCAAGTATGGAATAATATAAATTGTAAGAAATGTTTTTATAATTACGTTAATTAGGGGTTTCAAAATTAAAAAAAGTGGCGCATTTCAGAATTAAGCATAATTTTTTAAATAGCATTTTTATTATGTTGAATTATAAATCGGAAAAATAAATAAGATACTCTGATTTTAATTTGAAACCCCATTACTAGACTAAATTTGACTTTAAACATAATTGATACAAAATTTCTTTTTATAGATTTAAATGGAAACCTTAATCCAAGACCTGATAGTCTGGAATATCCTTCCCTTAATCTGAAATATTCTTCCTCTATTAGTGTCATTATTTTCCTTTTATTTTGTAAGGTCACAATTTTATTATGATTCGTTAAGATTATTTTATCTATTATTTTTAACTACAAATTATTTTGTTTAGTTTGTTTAACAAATGCTACTTATATAACAGTGGTTGGATATATTATTAAGAGCATTCCAATTGCTATACGTTTTGGTAAAGAACTATTTGATGGAGGTGGAGAAAAGCTTATGTCGATACTTGTTACAATTTTTGCTTTTGGATGTGTTTGTGCAATAGTTTTCACATATGTATGATTACTAATTATCATGCAAATTAGTTAAGAATTTTGCTAGATTGAATAAATATCTAAAATTTTTATATTCACGAATTATAAATTATACTGCTCAAACTAATTTCATGTCCACGAGGATATCCAATATATTAAACTATGGTTCAAGACATTTATACTCGACAATAATCTTCAAAATGCTGAAACTTTTTACACAGACAATATTTTTAAAATCTGACCGGTAACTTTGTTCTTCATGATGAGCTCTACAAAGTTACCGGTCAGGTTTTTAAACTAATGTCTTCATAAAAAGTTTTACCATTTAAAGTTCGTTCCGTGATATATTAACTAATCCATTAGTGGCAACATTTTTTTATTGTTTAATTTTATGCATGATTATTTTGATAAAACCTTATATAATTTGTTTGATCATTTCACTAAAGCATCGCATGTTGTTTATATGTAGATTAAATAATTCAATTTCATGTTTCTGGTTTACTGTATTCAACTAGATAGCTGCGCGACGCCATCGCGCGAAACCAGGAACGGAAGATCTAGATAGTGATTAGATTCGAAAAATGCAGTTTATAATTAACTCAATTAACTGTATAAGAGAATGTTATTAAAATAGTAGAGAATTATCTAGTAATAAATATCATATTTAGGTATTGGTGTTAAGCAGTGAAAAGAATTATTTAAAAAAAATTTTAATCTATGTTATCATTGCGAAAATAATATTTGATAAGTAATTTATTCTTTAATTGCATTAGTGGGTTCCGATGTTTGGTTCAGGTTTGGTTCGGGTTCAGTCATACATGGACTCAAATCTGAATCAAACTTGAAATTCTGATGATCTTCAAACCCAAATCAACATGAGCCCACAATACTAAACTAGGATCAAGCTCGAACATAACTTCAAGTTTGGCCCGAAGTTTGCAAACATGTTTTGGTTTGATGTGCTACATATATTAGCAACATAAATCCACAATAGTTGGTAAGAATTTTTTACAGTAAATTACTAAAGAAATCAAATACAAAACTATCATAACTATAAGTAGGCCTCCGCATGGGCCGGGTAGGGCCGGGTAATAGCAATACCCTAATCCTACCCGTTTGTGTAAGGGCTTAATTTTTATGCCCTTACCCTACCCTAGGGCCCAAAGTTTAATACCCTAGCCCGGTCCGTTGGGCCCACGGGTACCCGTGAACTTACCGTGAACTATCCATGGGCCTAACTTCACTATATTCAAAATTACAAGCACTGCTTGTACGTAGTAAAATAAAACCCACCTTTTTTCTCCAAAAATTTACCATTAATAAAGATCGCTCAAGCACTACTTTTACATTTTAGCATATCAAACATAATAAACAATGAATTCACAACAAAATTCACAACAAATTTC